AGGCTAAGAGTGAGGCCAGGATAATAGCTATACCCAATTTTCTAAAACTTCACCCCCTGAGACAATTACCTGGTTTCTCAACCAAAAAGAGAAAATAGTATGGAAAAGCATCAAATAAACAAAGCAAGGGGTCAGCAGAGTTAATGGGTGGTAAAGAGCCTGCACGATTTCCTAGACGTGGGGTGGATATGGTTACACGCGGGGTCCAGAGACAACTGCTCCAGGGTCCCAGAGCGGAGGGGCCCGTGCAGTGACTCCACGTGAGGACAGTAGGAACGGCCGCTGAGGATACAGAAAACAGCACAATGGGGATGTGCTGTGTGGTGCTCTTGGCAGGCGGCTCAGCTTTCAATGGGGCCAACCTCAGGCTGCAAAGAATGCACTGCCAGCTGAATGAGAAGCATGAAAAAGAACGTCTTTAATAAATAAAGAGTGGAAGAGCCACTGCTGAAGCTTCTGGAAGACAGAGGTCAGTGCTGCTAGACATAGGAGAGGAGCGAAGGGAAAATGAGGCCCTGCCACACACTTGGACGGTTTCTTCCTCCCCAAGAAGGATATTGGCGAGTTCGCTGAAGGGGTGTAAGGAAACAAAGACATAATACTGGAACAGTGTTGGCTGTGAGAAAAGTCAACTTGCGGTAAGTTCCTTCTGAACCTATTTTTAATATGATATGTTATCAGTAAATGATAATTATTATAATCAACTAGAAAAAGAGTTTGAAAAATTGGGATGGAAAAAAGACGAGTCACTCAACGCAAGCAGAAACACCGGGACTACGTGGTGACGGCCTGTGTGATCGCTCAGTAACGCCCCGCTGGTTTCCAGAGAGCAGTCCCGATGGACAGACTTGGAATGAGAGGCCCCACACTTATCCACTTTCTCTCCCATGACTAGTGGTTTCCGACTTCTCGGTTTTTACCGCCAATGCAGCCACCAAGTGAGTAGGCAAAAACGGCCCCTTCTTTTTCTGTGTCCTCGGGACCTAGCACAGAATCAGAGCTCAGGAGGTAACCAGTGAGCAAAAGTGAGGTGACGGAACCTACATTTGAACCTGGACCATTTGTTCCGGTTGCATTTTAAATTTCAAATCTTGTGCTCTTTCCCATCTTTCCACTCTTCCACACTGCCTCTCCTGCTACATCACATTGTTTTTTAAGTAATAAAATGCTAAGTCACTTTCACTTGAAACTAGCATAAAAAAAGGCAAAGAACAAAAGGGTAAAAAATACTCCTCCTGTACCTATACATATTGCAATAAGCTCGAGACAAAAAGAATGAATATTTCTAAACAAAAGTCCATAGCTAAGTTTGAGAACACATGTTGCAAGTACTTAATAAACATTTCATTACTTGAGCATAAATAAATAAATGGCTACAGGAAAAATGAAATGATATTAGGAAAAATGAAATACACTAGTATGATAATGCGCCTTGATTCTCCTCATTACCAAAAGTAAACTTCCCAACTTTAAAAGAAATAATAAATGCAATAATCAGCAAGTGCTGAAGTGTAAAAACCAAAGTAAAAAAATACACTGAAACATCTTGTCATTTGAAGTTCCATTAGCTCATATAAGTTATAGCTTAAAACTCTATAATCGTTTGCGAAGATGGGTGCAGTTTGAGTCAAGGGCTAATTTAAAGTCTATAAAGCTTACGAAGAATATATGCATCCCTATGTTCACTGCAGTGTTACTGACAATAACCAAGATCTGGAAGCAGCCCAAGTGCCCGTCAGTAGATGAGTGGATAAAAAAGCTGTGGTCCATTCATACAAAGAAATACTACTCGACCAAAAAAAAGAAAAAAGAAAAAAGAAATCTTACCTTTTGCAACAGCATGGATGAACCTGGAGATTATTATGCTACGTGAAGTAAGCTAGTCAGAGAAAGAAAAATACCATATGATCTCACTTATATGTGGAATCTGATGAACAAAATGAACTGATGAACAAAACAGGAACAGAGGCATGAATACATGGAACGGACTGGCAGCAGTCAGAGGGGAAGGGAGGCTGGGGGACTGGATGAAAGAAGGTGAAGGGACTAAGCAAAAACCATACATAACACATGGACACATATAGCACTGAGGTGACAGCTGCGGGGGGGGGGGGGTCGGGGGTAGGTGGAGGTGAGCAAAGTGGGGGAAATTGGGACTGGGAGAGACTTTGCTTGGGGTGATGGGTGCATAGTGCAGTGCACAAACAATGCTCTTCTGAGTTGTGCACTTGAAACCTGTATGGGTTTGTGAACCAGTGTCACCCGAACAAATTCCATTAAATACATGCATACACACATAAATACATACTAAAAAAAAATAAGGTCTGTAATAATCACCTGCTTGGAAAGGAGTTAACCTACCTTGCAGACCACATGATATTGTTGTGACTTTGACTAAGAGTTACACAGAAATGAATGGACGATAAATTATTTTGAAACATGCAACAAAATTTTCTCCAGTTCTAGTCAATAACAAATTCACATTCTGAATGAGAGTGGAAACCAAACATGTGAGCAAACTAGCAGGAGTGTTCTCAAGTCTTAAAGCAACTCTCGCCCCGGACAGGTGGCTCAGCTGGCTGAGCATCATCCCCTACACCCAAGGCTGCGGGTTCGATCCTGGTCGGGGCGCGTACGAGAGGCGACCGATCCATGTTTCTCTCTCACATCGGTGTTTTTCTCTCTCCCTCCCTCCCTTCCTCTCTCTCTAAAATCAACAAGCAGGTCCCCAGGAAAGGATTTTTTTAAAAAACTTCTCTAGTAAAGCAGCATAGAAATAATATTAAACAGTAATTTTCAAGAACTTTAATACATTAAGTTCTAACAGTATTTTACCAGAATTGCATTTTAGTAAGTATGAAATAGTGTAACTTTTTTTTCTATTCAGCTAACTTTGCATTTAAAAAGAAAAGCCATTTATGGGGAAAAAAATCTCTTGAAAAGTGTTTATTAACAACACTGCCAAAAAACTTCCAAAGAATTTGTTTCTTCTATACTTAGGAACAAATGTAAGCGTAAGGATTCCATTTATCCAACAATAACATAACTTTGCAGTGAATTATGGCGTTAACCTAGGTTAGAAGATGCCTATAATGATTAAGGTATTTTCCCATTTTCCTAACAATTAGCAACTCTAATAAGAAATCAATTGTAATTGGAGAGAGAGTGGACACTCAATTAATTACCAAAGTCAGTTGATATATGAGAATTGTTACTTAATGTAGAAATTCTGTATGTTGTAATTTAGCTATTTCATATGTATATAAAATCAAATTTAGAATCTAAATTTAGAATAGTCTTAATTCAATGATTCTTAAATGATGTAAATTTATTTGCAATAAATGTTTGCTAAAATAATTCCTTAAAAGGCTAGACTTCTCTTTTAGAATCTCTTATTTTTCATTGTGTGTCAGTGGGGATCGTTGTTGAATTTCTACATTTGTGCTTTTGCATTTAAACCTAACTGGGTAAGGTATTCCAGTACAATTGTTAAAAACTGCTTAAGAGATTAGAATTGAATTATTTCTAATGATATTAATTTACTAAGTCTTGGCTAATAAGATGGTAGGATAATTCCAGTAATAACCTGCTTATGTTTTGAAAAAGCACACATAGCATTATCTCTAACCAATTTGGTAGCATTTGCTTAACTGTTAACCCAAACGCCACAAATGTCATAGAAGTTATCTGAGAAAGTTAGCATGATGATATGAGGTATCTAACTTTTTTTATTCATTTTTTTATTTTTAGAGAGAGGGGAAGGGAGAGAAAAGGAAAAGGAGCGAAACATCAATGTGTGGTTGCCTCTTGTGCGCCCCCTGCAGGGGGACCTGGCACGCAACCCAGGCAGGTGCCCTGACTGGGAATGGAACTGGCGACCCTTTGGGCTGGCGCTCAATCCACTGAGCCCCACCAGCCAGGCCAGGTATCTAACTTTTAATGAACCCAAGTGTTTCTTGTCCATTATATGAAACCAGCAAAAATATATACTGACCAATTACCAAGGAAAACATACAATTAATATTATATTCAATATCTGTACCCAACAAGTACCCTTATTTTAGTCAAAAACACGTCTTAACCTCTTCAGCAGTATTAACTGTATGCACATGTTGTGTAACAGATCTCAAGAACATTTTCACCTCACAAAACTGCAACTTTAGATCCATTGAGCAAATCCCTGTCCGCTATCCCAAAAAGCACCTTTTCAAAGGTATCTGGGGCCTAAACATTTTTTACACGGAAGTGCCATGAATCCTTGTTTTCCCACAGTCGCAGCGTCCCGACCAACTGCAGCACGGCAACAGACTGGGCCGCCAAGCTGTCCAGCCACCGCCAAGCTGTCCTTCGGTCCATAAAAACCACACGTGTAGCTGATGGCTAGAATGCCTTTCCGTTTTGTAAATCACGTTTGTGCAGAGACCTGCCAATTCCCCAGGACATCTGAGTCACTGCTGTAAATTAGTGACAGGTCACGGGTCTGCAATTCTGGGCCACAGAATAAGTATTTTAGGCTTTGCGGGCCATACGGGGTCCACTGCAAATATACGATTCTGTAATCACAGCACAAAAGCAGCTATGGGCAATACATAAATGGATAAGCATGACTGTGTGTCAATAAAATTTTATTTACAAAAGCAGGTGACAGGTTAGACTTCTGTGGCCCCTAGCCTGCCAACCCCTGAAATATGTAGGAAGGGGAACGGAAAGACAGGGGAAGGGGGAGGCCAGGGGCGGGGGCAGGGAGTAGGAAAGGAAATCTGAAGTATCCGTGGAGCAGTACTCCTGAGAATAAGTAGCTCCTTAGTAGGGTTCACATTATTTCTTCTATTGACTGTCTTTGATAGTGAGGCCCAAGGAAATGGAACAGGTTTTTGTTTTGTTTTGTTTTGTTTTTTTTAATGACTTGTTTCGGCGCTGACTGACCTATTGACATCCAGTACATCAGCATCAATAATGAAAACACTGATCTTCAGTTGAGTACACAGGACTGACCTTACCTTAGTAATGGGTGGAATATGACTGTAATATTTCTGGCTCCAGGTTTGCACACAAATTTTGTTCCTCCACCTTCAATTAAGTTGTCATCAGGACCCCCTTTCAGAAAAAAAAAGAGAGAGATTCAGTTTATTAGAGACATTACAAAAAAAGAAACTGAGTATATCTAGATAAATGTTACAGGGGCATACGAAGGACCATCTTTGAAAACAGCTGCCTTCAATATACAGAAAACTATTTTGAATGACTTGACCTGGTCTTCCTCACTCAATAAACTATGAGTGAGCATTTTCACCCTAATTAAACTACAGAATGCTTCCTGAAAATCTCCTTTTTGAAATAACTAGATGTTTGCCACGGGTCTCCCATGTAATAAGGAGATATAAGAAAAATAAATTAAGATATTCTTTTTAAAAAAGATTTTATTTATTTATTTTTAGGGAGGGAAGGGAGGGAGAAAGAGAGAGAGAGAAACATCAATGTGCAGTTGCTGGGGGTCATGGCCTGCAACCCAGGCATGTGCCCTGACTGGGAATCGAACCTGCGACACTTCGGTTCGCAGCCTGCGCTCAATCCACTGAGCTACATCAGCCAGGGCAGAATTAAGATATTCATAAAACTATGTCATACGCAAGAGCCCAGCCCTTTTGAGTGACCCAGAGGTGTCAATATCCTTGTTTTCTAAAGACGTCAGCGAGTTTCTGTGAGAAGCGTATCCAGCATTTTCTCTCCCACTGCTGATTGACAGCCATGTTGCAAAGTTTGGTACGTTGATATGTTGTTGGTGCTCTCAGAAAGTCTAAAGAAAACATGTTCCCACATGTTTCATGCTCTTTCCTCAAACATTCCGTAAGAGGCTCATTAACTGAAGGGTCACAGCACACTGAGGCAGACGACTCATCGAGACTGTCTTCCAGTCCACAGCCATTAAGATGCCCCTGATTTCAGATACCCTGCAATTTCAGAGAATACAGAATGTGGAAAGTGTGTATCTCAGGACGTTGGGAGAAATGCTCTCCCTCCACCCCCAAGTCTCGTGTTTCTTTCCATTAAAATGAAGCTCAATTAATGGAGTCCCTGACCTTTCTCTGTGTTTTACGCACTGCAGGGAAAGTGAAATAACTCCTCTCATAAAACTGGGGAGAAGCAGCTGCACATGCTTGCTTCGGCAACGCCGTTCCTCCACTTTAGAAACCAGAGTGCAAGGAGGTTGAGTATTTCTTGCTAAGTTTAGCAGTGAAGACCCTGCCTTGTCCAGAGAAGGAGGAAGTAGTCCAGCACCTTCAGTAAGGGGGTTAGTAAATCTGATTTTTTTTTCAAGAAGGCTTTCTTTTTTAATTTTTTTGTCTCCATTTTCCCACCACCACTTTCCCCTGCCCCACCCACCCCCACCTCCCACCCTCATTCCTAAATCTGTTTTAACTCTGCTGTCCATTCAGAAAAATCATTTGACTCTCAGACTGGACTACATCACTCCCTCTAGCTTATATCAACATGAAGGTAGTGCTTCATCCTTCCTCTGCCTTCTGCTGCTCCTTAGCAGTCTCAGAACCGGGAGGAAGGGCGCATGCCCTACAAGGGGCTTCCTCAGAACCTTAACAAACTGCACTTCCGATGCTCCGTTTCTTTTTCCTAAATTAAACATTTTCTTTCTAATTATAGTTCTTTGCACGATACCAAACATAGCTTAACCTCACCTGATTTATTATCTATCTTAATGGTCTCTGAGGCATCTTGAAAATTGACTGATAAAAACACGTGAAGCTTCAGAAATCCATACCCCAGATCGTCAAGCCTTCCCGGAGGCCTCGGAGTCTAGACAAATCCCACTTGGGTTACTTGTTTCCACTGACTAATCAGAGCGTGTTGTGTTAAGAGAAACAGAAAATATAATGGCATGTACAGCTTTTAATTCAAAACCATGAGCTATTTTTTCTCATCTGAAAGAAATCCATTTTATAGTACTGCATTTGCATTAGTGATATTAATGTTCTGTTACATCAGTGGTTTAGGTGAGTTAAAGGAAAACAAAAGGAGAACATTAAGACTACCACAGATATTACTCCTTTAGTAAAAATCTTCCTAAAAAGCTCACATTGTGTGGTCACATACAGAGAAAATAAGAATAGAGTAAATACGTCTCCTTTATCAATACGTCTCCTTTCTAAGATCATAAAATCAAGAATTGATTCTCCGAGGAAATGGTTGTGTGTGTACAGAAGAAACCAGGTTACATTCTGCACTCTAGGAAAAACATAAATAATTTACTAAGAAATAAATAAATCTACACAAAAAATAATGCCTTAACCTACTCCATGTGAGCATACCTTTTTAAGGACTACATAATTTCCAATGGTTTCTAAAAATTCTGGTGTTCTGTGACTTTACACATTGAATAATTAAATACAGACCTGATTAACCCACCTCCAGTCTTCTGTTCTGAATCCCTGTGAACTACAAGGCAGACGATTACTGATTTTCACAGTTACACAGCAAAAAGTAAAGCTTGGGCAGAAACACGAAAAAAAGAGACTCTCCCACCACCTGAAGCCCGACCAGAATCCCACGTGCAAGAACTTCGTCTATTACTCCAGCCCTGCTACCCAGGGCCACCTACGCTGCATCTGATACACCTTCCTCTCCATGGACCGCAAGTTCTAATTCGGCTTACTAAATTATGGATAGAGAGCACGAGCCCAGGGAAAACGTTCTCGAAAATCAAGCTGCCACGACCAAACGTAGAGGCTGTGGCCAAAGCCCATGGAGTCTGTGAGGCTCCGTCCCCTCAGATCTATTCCGGAGCTTCAACATTCCGGGTAGGAAACCAGCCTCGCTGGCCCTTCCACGCCTTCCCACAACCAGGGAGCCTGGGAGCTGCCGTCACGAACACGCCTGCGGAACCAGCTGCCCGATCCTGAGCAGAGCGCAGAAAGGGCCAGGGCCGCTCCCTGCCCGTCACTCATGACGCTCACTCTCTGGTCTCGGCGGCAGAGGCCAGGTGATGGGCGCCAGAGAAAATGCTGAGTGACGACGGACGGCTGGGGGGAGAGGGAAACGGCCCAGAGGATTGAAGGGAGAACATACATTCTGCAGGAAGGAGGGGCAGAAACGCCCCAGTCACATTTCCTCTAACAATGAGGACCCTGGTTTGACAGGCTCCCTTGCATGAGTGGCAAGGGCACCTCAGCCACCAATGACTAGGGAGATCACAGTACCTTAGTGCTCGCAGGTGAGTCCCTGCTTTAAGAACACACCCAACTTATAATTAGTTCCTAAACTTCCTTATTCTTTGATTTTTCCCAACTAGAAGTGGATGTCGTTTAACAGAACTGAAATAAAAACACCAAAGCCACAGAAATAAATGGAAACGTGTTCTCACTGAGAGGTCTGCGGTACAGTGGGAAGAATCAAAAAATCTCTGCCAGACCCCAGATCGCTACTTAATAAATGTGATAAAATTATTTAAATACTCTGAGCCTCAGAGAATTGAAAACACAGGTTGCAATGAACTCAGTGAAAGACTTGTGGTGAGGTTAAGGTGACGGACCCAAGGGCACTCGGGACAGCGTCTGACACCTAGTGCATCCGAGGTGAATGCCGGCTGACTCTCCCTGGAGAACCCCCAAGCAGGTCAGAATCCACTGGTCACACACGCAACATCACTGGGACAAAATCTAAGAAACAAAAACCCCAACTCAAAAATGTTGTTCTTGCTACTTTAGGCAACATTATGCCAGTCTGTATCATTCATCAGACCAATCAAAATATGTCTGTCTTATTTTGGGGGCAGTATTATTGCTGGGAAAACTTTAGAGTTTAAAAACTGTTGAGAACACAGCATGATGGAATAAAATCAGTCTTTATCCACTCTTAAATTTGCAATTAAAAATAATCATCACTAAATGGAGAGATATTAAAATTATGAATGCTTTGTGTCAAGTCCTGTGATACGAGCAGCACAGAATTTGATGGTCACTTCTGTTGAGCCACAGAATGCAGTGATCCTCACATGACACTTTTTAGTGGGTTCTGGATTTAAAGCTGGCCTTTCCCTACAGAAAAGAACCACGGTAAAGGTGAGTTTTTCTTTGCAGCAAATATTTTGCTTCATAAAATCTTTCTGAGTATTGTGAAAATGCACTCAGTACAATAAATATGGAATTCCTTACTTCATCAATAAATAGAGTCTTTAACTGACTCTAAGAGCCAGCTGGATGGTCTAGAAATTACCCGAATTCACAGGAGTCACCTTGCCAGTGGAGTTCTTGTACATTAAGTTCTTTGGCAAGTGTCTACTTTCTCTCTCTCTCTCTCTCTTTTTTTTTTTTTAAGATTCTTACCTATTTATTTTTAGAGAGAGGGGACGGGAGGGGGAGAGAAACATCAATGTGAGAGAAACATTGATTAGTTGCCTTTACACATCCCCTGACTGGAGATCGAACCCATAACCCCAGCATGTACCCCGACTGGGAATCAAACCAGCAACCCTCCACTACAGAAACAACACCCAACCAGCCAAGCCACACAGGCCAAGGCAACACGTGCCTGTGCTTAAAGTGCAAGCTGTCACTGTGATTTATGCTGCTGCTGCTACTGCTGCTGCTACGACCACTACCGGCACACTTGTAACGAGGAGCTAGCTCTAAGCTTGGGGCTGGGGACTAAATTAAGAAGAAAACAAAGGTCGAATACTTTTTCTCACACTCAAAATAACTTACAGTCACAGTTGGATCAAGCAAATCAGGATTGGCAGAGACATTCTACTGCTCATGGGTGAGTTGCTGTTGGACCGGGAAGAGAAACCCAGACAACAAGCCCCTTCAGGGAAAGAATCATGTGTTTGGACTCAACCCTCACCAAGTGTACCATTATTAACAATACTATTTTGTTCGTGGATGTATCCCTTGTGCTTAACATAGTTTCTGGTGTGTAATAAATACTCAGTGAACATTTGTTAAATGAATAGATAAGTAAACAAATGAACAAACAAAAAAAGATCATGTTTCTTTTCAAGTGAATTCTAAGTACAAAGCACTTAGGAACAAACAACAGTTGTGTTTTGCATAAAGTATGTTCAGTAAGGAATCCAAGTTTTAATA